TGTTGGACTTTCAAGATGGGGTTGATGGGCGTCGCTCTACACCAACCACTACTGGTCTCCTTGAGGCCGACTTATTGGTAATATTCTTCCTACACTGGCTCCTCAAATGTCCGCGCTTTCCACAGTTCCAACAACTTTTCTGGATACCAGCCTTTCCTCTCCCTTCTTTTATATACCAGCGTAACCTATTTCTAGTAAGAACTTGAACCTTCGACAAAGTACATGATAGTTCTAGAAACGTTGCGTCACGGCGGTCACGTGACTGCTGACGCAACAGTATTTTTCAAAACTGGTTCATCAGTTTCTTCTGTACTGCTGTTGAAAAGTACTGTGTCAAACGTAATATTGTCAACAAAGCATTTCTCATTCTAGACAATGCACCAGGCCACCTAGTGAACTTGAATGATCTTTCTGATAATGTAAGATTTGAGTACGTCCCCAAGAACACAGCTCCAGCCAATGGATCAAGATGTTATCCCCAATTTCAAGAGATATTACTTACGGAGAACTCTGAAACAACTGATTAAAGCTACTTATGGAAAGGATAAGACTACAGTTTGTGATTTCTGGAAGAAATATAACATTATGGATGCAATAGACAACATCACCAAGTCGTAGGATCAAGTGAAGGAGTCAACTATGAATGGTGTGTGGAAAACATATGGCCAGAGTGTACCAACAACTTTACAGGGTTCCCCAAGCAGACTGGTTTTGAAAATATCACAGATTATGAGGTTGAGTTATTAAAGTCCCATGGAGAGACATGTCCAATGAGGATCTGATAATGTTGGAACAATAAACACCACCCACGCAACTTCGTTGACTTACCAATCAGTTATTCCAGTCCTTTGCCCTCGTAGAAGAAGTGGTGCAAATGATCCAGCCTAAAAGTTACAATAGAACTACATGATGTCATGCACTGCTACAAGGAGAAGATACAGCAGAAACAGGAAACAACTCTTGACACATTCTTCGTCAAATAAAAAGAGCCCACACCACATCAAGATGATGATCATCATGTTTACAGGGTGAGGCAGACGTCAGTACTAGTATTGAGTCTCCCTCTCCTTCCCAGTGTAAAAATTTATTATTTTTGTGTACCTACTATAATTTTTGGCGAGTAAAACTATAAAACTATGTCAATTACATTTAATATGTATTTAAAAATGTTTTCTTACATTCATATGTGTGTTTTATTGCTTTTATGGATCAAAAAATTTTCGTAAGATTGTATCAACATTTGTAACATAGGAGTTAGTAGGAAAATAAGGTTCGAGTTACGAAATTTCTCTACGGAAGTTTCTTCAAAATACACCCCTTCCATAACGTGGGTTCGAATGTATAAATAACACTAGATTGGAATTCACGTGATTTTCAACATGTGCAAGCGGACGCCATTGCTACGTGTTGAACTTTCAAAGCCCGCCAATCGAACTGACAATGGAAAGGCGATCTCACCTCACAACTTATGGCTGTTTTCCTGATTTTAGCTTAGAAATTAGTGCAAAAATCGTTCACAAAACACACATATCTGACCTGTCATAAGAAGAATGCATAGGAAAGTCTCAAAATTAAAATCTGTTTTTTTTCCTCGAAGAGACACAATAATTTTCACTAACTAAATCACTACCAGACATTGAACTGTATAACTTACTGACTGCTCATAAACTCACTCTAGAATTTATATCATTTTCGTTTATTACTTACAACACGAACTTTCTAGATCATTATGTCATCACCGTGATTAGTCCCCTCTACCAAACAAATATCTAAATTGAAATAATAATAAAAAATATAGCTCACAACAAAAGAAACACTGCTAATAAAAATATAGATATACTCTTAATCACACTGCCAGCTATTCTCAGTTATAGCTGTTTTGATTGTTTAAATCAATTCTCTTTATCCACTCCAAAAACATTCTCTTGCCTCTTTTGTTGTTTTGTTCTTTTCCTGTTGTAGTCCCTCGATGGAACAGAAGTAAGGCTACGGATTTACAACACTAAAATCAAATAGCCTGAAGTGGTTTTGCTATGAAACACACACACATAGACTCTTTCTGTGTTGTATGTGTATATAGACATTGCATTTTAATATATTTAGCAATTTTATTGTTACATTAAACTCACAACATACTTGTTTTCACATAAAATCGCCGAAGATGGATTGTCTATAATCCGAAACATACGAATTAAAATGTTTGCTTTTATTTTGTATTTTCTGTAATGATACATTGTAGTAATGATAAATTGTCATTTAATTGCAATTACTTATTGTTTGTGACTCTTGTCTATGTATATGTGCATTTCTGTAAATATTTCCAATACTGTATATATTTACTTCTAAACATAAAGGTGCAATTTCTATCGATCAAATAGTACAGCACTTAAATATGCTCTTATAATGTAGTATGTATTTTTAATGATGTACAGGTATCATTGTGTCACAAGAGTTTTAAGTTAGCGGTTGAAATACAAGAATCACTGGCCCAAAACTCTTGAGTAATTTGAAAGTCATTCATATGGGTTTCTATCCGTAACATTTTGAAGTTCTGAGACCAAGAGGATATATTTCAATCTAACCACGCCTTTACATCCGGAAAGACCTTAGTCATAAATGAATCGGTCAACTGCAAAAACGAATAAGTGCTGTTGTGTGTTTCATTTAGATGTTATTCTCCACCATGTGGCAGCACTATATTATTTCTTATGGCAGCTACCTACGTTCTAGGTACTAATTTAGTATGTATTTTAACTTTTGTTTAAACTTTCTCTTCATTGTGGTTTTTATGTAAACATGTGGACTTTTAAAATGCACTGCGATAAATTATAGAATTATATAGTACTAATTTGGACCCTAGAATTAGAAAGAACAAACAAAAATCTAACGACTGTAACAGAAAAGGTAGATTAGTATTACTAGTACTCTTAGTAGTAATTTTATTACTAATATTAGCATAATAAAGGCATGAAACTTAAATAAAAATTTATATTAGGCGTCTACTGTTTTAGAGTAATACAAGTTACATCAAGAAGTTTATTTTCACATTTTACTAATAATTTTTAGTACCTAGGTTACACTTACATTAAATTTGTGTAGGGTGTAAACGCTTAATTTTATGTTTTACTTCACAAAACCAGGTTCTAAATATTGTTGTGGGTATTCTAAAGATACTATTTGAAATACAGTTACATAAATCATAACGAAAAATTTTCCCAGTAGCGAGCACAAATAATTATATTGTTCAAACTCTCTTACTTATAATGATTAGAATGCATTTTTTCCTCAGTTAATGATATTTCAAAAATATTATACTGGTCTCATTCATATTTGTGACCTGTGTTGAAAGAGTAATTATCTCAGATTTTTCTGGGTGTACAAGTCTTATTACATCTGCAAAGTCTATGGTTAAGTATTTTTCCTGTCTTATACATAAATACTTTTCAACATTGCACCTTGTAAACTACAGGCCATATGTTTTTTGTATTGTTAAGTTTAGACCTTATGAAGGACAGCCTAGAGACTGGAATGTTGTATCAAGGCCAAACCAAAGCATGAGAAGCCAATGGAAACATAGTATACACACCTACACTATATGTACTTCCACAGGGTCCCTGAAAGTGTTCTTTTTCAAAAATAAGTAAAAACCAAAATTAAGAGCAACAAATATTTTTATTCTTGCTTGTGAATTTCATATGTCATGCTGTGCTATATCCTGCAGAGTGCATAATTGTTTTCTTGATTCATGGCATGTGCACGTTTTACTGACATCTGACAGTACAAATTGCAATGTCAAGTGTCCCTTATATGATGTAATTTTAGTGTCTACTGACTGACTAACAGATGACAAACTACTGTACAGTGGTGTGAGTGATTAAAACAGGTAACCTCTCTAAGCGGAGGAGAAATAAACTGCTTAGACTCAGTTTGAAAAAAGATGTGTCGCAACATGATTATATTGTGATTTTCTTTAAGATATTCATCATATAATGGATGAATAGAGTAAATTAGACATGTGCTTTAGTTCTGTATGTAAATGTATGTTAAGTAGACATGTAGCTTGAACTTGTGATGTCTTGTTGAAACTGGCTTTGAGAGGTATCAGAAGGATGTAGTGTTGTTCAGTAAATGTGTTTGTGACTGTGTGATTTATTAAGTGTCATTCAGTAAGTGGATATGCTAGAAATTGCTATCAGTTCTGAAGTATCTTGTAGCTTGCTCTAGATCCTGCTATATAAATAAACCACTTTCCAGAAACCAAGAGTAGATAGTTTTGAAAATTTTAATATTTTCATCTTTATTTTTTTAAATGGCTAAAATGATCTTCAGTGCTGACCATATGGTAAGTCCTCAGTCATAGTTAGTTTACCAAGGCTTATGTTTCATGACATTATTAAACCTAACTTTGATACTAATAAATATAGAATCTTGGAAAAGATAATTTTTTTAATTTTTAACACTAGTTTACAAAGTCAATAAAGTATTTAATTCCCAATTTTTAAATTATAGTAGTTATAGTTAAAATAAATACAATTTTCAAATATAACCCAATATAAAAAATGTTATTGTTAAAAAGTGGAGCTAACAAGAGAAGTGAAAAAAAATTTGCTTTCTCTGGTATAGAAGTAACATACATACTTTGATTTAGGTGTTTAAATGTTGTGAGCCTGAATAAACTGTCAGAATTTGTTTTATTTTGAAGTAGGGACTTAAACATTAAGTGTAAGAAGTTTAAGCGTTGGAAGCCCGGGTCCAGCAGTTTCTTTTCTGTTGGAATCACTAACTTGTAGAAGGATTTACGTGATGATTTGGTGTATGTTGGTGGTTTAGAGTAAACAGAATTTTCTTCGTTAGCTCATTTAGATCCATGCGAAGCAACATGTTTAGTTTAGGTGGATAGATTGGCCTTCTGATACCATTTCAGTTACGTTTTGTTTAAAAGTTTTAGGATGCATTGCACCAAGGTCATTTACATTACATAGTTTTTCTAAGTTTTCCAAAATGCACACTCTTTAACTTTAGTAAAATTTAAGTTTTTATGTTATCTACAGTTTAGATATTAGGTTGGTAAAGCATCTTGTTTGCTATCCATGATAAAAATAAACAATGATTTATTATAGTACAAGTCATATTTTTGCAAAATAACAAATGTTTCAGAACAATAATTGTATTTAAGAATGTCTCATTGTTTTCTTGAACTTTACAAATCATTAATATGAATTTGAAGTAGGATTTATGGATAAATGTTACTACTACTACAACATCAACAATTCCATTTCTTGGGGCTATAGACTACTGCTGGCCAATATGAATTTTGTGAACTTTCCTTCATGAGATACCCTCCCCCAGTAGTTCAGTGGTAAATCTGAAGACTTGTGATGCTGAAAGCCAGGTTTCGATAACCAGGTGGACACAGCACAGATAGCCCATCGTGTAGCTTTGTGATTACTACAGACAAACTTCATGAGACAATATGGTTAACACCACAGAAATACAGACATTAATTAACTCTAACCTTCTCCCTGTTTTACTTTACCATAACAGTCGTATTTATTTTTTAAATATCCAAAATTATGGATAATAAGGGGCCATTTGGTCCTTCAATGCTCCTTCTACATGCACTTCCTAGAAAAATAAAAATGTATGTTTTTTTAAATGCCTATTCCCTTCTTTTACTTTTCTAGGGTATTAGTCTTTACTACTGCTGATGGTAACAAATTTCGTAAGTTGGTCACCCTGTTTGAAAACTGAAACTGTCTTGGTCGAGTCTAGCCTGCTTTTCCAAATCTGAACTTTGATACCTCTTATTCTATTGTTTTCAGATTTTAGCACAAAGAAATCAGAAGCCTTTATCACAGGCCTTGTCAAATCACGAGTGACAGGTCACCATGTTGACTAAAATTGCACTGTGGCACCTAGTATTTTCTCTCATTTTATTTGTGCATAGGGCTGTGCTAAATAGAACTCGAATCTAGAACAGTACTGGACTCTTGGAAGTCCAGAACTATTTTTGCATTCTTTGAGTCCTAAATTGAACTTTGTTTCTAAGACTTTAGTGGTGGATTCAACACCATGTATTTTGAGGTATGAAGTGCTGCAGTTGCACAACACTATACTAATTTTGCACAATTTAGTTTTTCTTTTTTCTCTCAATTAAACCAATCAGTGTGTGTGTTTAGACTCAAACAGGACAAAAGGCAGTTAGTTTGGGCAATACTATCAAGAGGTTATATTATCATGTGGTCATTAGCATGCACTCGTTGCTGTGAAAGTAAATGTATATATGAAGCCACCATTTCCCGGTACAAAAAGTAGTGAAGTTAGGTTAGGCAAACCTGGAATCTTGAGTTTTTGGGCTGGCTCCTAGATCTGAAAATATTTGTGGAGACCTGCTTTATCATATTGATCTCCTGGATAATATTTTATGTTTCAATAGAGGTCTTGCATGTGACATCACAAAACTTCCTTTTTTCATTGGGAATACTAAACATTCTCTTAAAACAGTCTAGAACAATCTGTATCAGAATAAGTTTCAGTAAAGATGTACATGCTGTAAATGTCATAAATATCACATATGGCAAATAATACAGATCTGAAGCTCTAATGTTGTTTCATTTCTCAAATATATCATGCTTTATGCACATGGTTCAAATGTTTTACATCAGATAATACGATAGTGGAAGACAAATTTGTCATTTCTTACCTGAGACTAATGTAAGCACTTGTCTTTCAATATGACAGAATAAACTATATCCATGTGACTTTTTTTTATGTCAGTGAAAGACCTATATAAGGTCACTTCTTACCAGTCATTTCTCAAGAGAAAATAAATTGAAAGGTCTTAACCTATCCATATAATATAATTTATACTTCCTCCATACATATCTGTTAGATTATTATTGATAAAAATTAAACAAAGGTTCAGCGTACTGATCGACTTGTTCAGCTGTTACTTTTGATATACAAGCGTAGATATTCATGTGGTAATTATTTAGTAATTAGGCATAATGCTAGGTATACTCCATTTTCTCTTTAATGGTACTTTAATTAAGTGTATTGATCTGAATGTTTGATGTATAAATGTTTTATTTTTTATGATTATTTTTGCATTGTTAGCTCATTATGTGGATTCAGGGTGAACTTAAATCTCCTAAACTGGCCAAATCTCATGATTAGGGCTAAAAAAATCATTAACACATGAAAGTACCCTACTGATGAAATTATTCCTTCTGATCTTTATAAAAATGTAAGAAAAGTATATTTAATTAGCTGCACTTGGTGCTGGGTTGATTTTTAGTTCTGATTCATTATGTGGATTCAGGGCAAACTTAAATCTCCTAAACTGGCCAAATCTCATGATTAGGACTAAAAAATCATTAACACATGAAAGTACCCTACTGATGAAATTATTCCTTCTGATCTTTATAAAAATGTAAGAAAAGTATATTTGATTAGCTGCACTTGGTGCTGGGTTGATTTTTAGTTCTGATTTCTATAGATAGCTTTCTTAAGTATTTATTGCAGTTGTCTGACATTTTGAAAGAATGCTAATATAGAATCAGTGAACTTTATTGTTGAAAGGACTTTCTAAGTGTTCATCATAAAGAAATGTGTAATTTAACTTTGTCATTTGCTTTATTTGTTTTGCCTTTTTTGTTCATGACAATCTACCTATAAAGTTTAATTAACATATATATACACAGTATATCAGCCACTACAAGGAATTTCAGATTAGCCCAGAATAATACAAAGTTATTACCTGCTGTTAATGGCACACAACTGATTTTCATACCATTCACTATATAAATTTGTCGTGAATGTATAATTTTAAAACATATTCCATCTTTGGAAAATTATGCCACCTGGTGTTCTCCAGAATAAATACTGGTTCAGGTTGATTTTCCTATTCAAATGAAACAATGATCATCTGTGAAAGTAATGTAAAACACATACGTATAACTTCTACAGATGCACAGAATATTTACAAAAACATTTGAGTGAATAAAAAACATTATTATTATTATTATACAAGTATATGTAACATTTTTTTAGTTGAAGTTTGAGATTGCAGTCTTGTGCTTGTTAGTCAAGTACCATAAATATCAGCAGATCAGTTGTTTAACCAAAAGAAAAAAATGAAAGGAATTAAATTAACTTTACTGTGTTGATATCTGATTTTCACTAGCTTTTTGTGTTATAAGTTAAAAATATGCTCTTGTTGTTACTAGAATACTGACCATTAAACATCACTCTTTGAGATGATGTAAGATCTGCATAAATACTAACTAGCTTATTATCATGGTTAAACAATAATTTAAAAATATATATAATTTTTTTTTAGCTGTACACTTCTAGATCTTAACTAAGCCAAAAAAATCAGGTGATTATCATTAGCTTCTGATCAAAGCAAGATATCTAAATATATCGCAAAAATTAACCCAGTACTTATACATTGATCATTTACTAGTCAGCAGTATTTTCAAGTGTAATCTCAATAATATCAATTGAGGCTCAACCAGCTTAGAATATTTAGGTTAGAACTAAATCAAAATACTAAGCTACAGTAATATATATATATATATGTGTGTGTGTGTGAAATATAAATAGTACAAATATTAAACATTTTAACCAATACTGGTAATGAAACTAACATTAAAGAACAGATTATAACTTGCTTACAGAACAAATAAAAACTAATTCTTTGCTTCATGAACATTTACTATTTCTGCTGACATATGACACATTGTTTACAATAGGCTACACATTTTAGTACAGATCTGGCAAACTTTTATATGTAATACCAGTAAGTAAATTATGTTTTCAGTATATGTTTAAACTGTTTAACACATTTTACTCAGTACACTCGTTTACTAATATTATTACTTTCTTTTTTTAGGAAGGAATAAATTATAACCTATTGAAAACAATTTGTTTTCCACACTTGGCAACAGAAGAATTCCTTCACATCTGTCATCCAGTCTAAAATGCCCTTTAAGTTGAAACTGAAAAGGAGCAAGCAATATAATGTAGCATCTAAAAATGTTTTTGTGATCTCAGTCAAGCCATTAGATAACAATGATTCAGTTGAATGTACATTATCGTCGCAAAGTTTAGGACTGGAATGCCTAAGTAACGTGTGTCAGAAGCTGCAGATACAACAGGTAAGTCTCGTGAAACTGAGAGTCTAAATGAAAACCAATATCTTATGTGCTGGAATGATTAGTGTAAAAACACCATTTTAATGGTTTAAAGTAAGAAACATTGTTAGTGGTTGCATATCTTTGTTGCCCATACTTTCCAAAATGCATGTGCCAAAAAATGTGTGTACTATATTTTAGATGGAGCTGGGCAATTTAATTCATCACCTATGTGCAGAAATTACAATGAATTTTTCATGTAAACTAATCAATTGAAATTAGTGTTTCCGATTATTCCAACAATCGATTAATCAAAATTATGATTAAATTGACTGTAACAAAAACAAACAATGCATTGAAGTTGGAGTTTCCTACTATTTTCAATTATTTGAACTATCCAAGTAATTGAAATGTAGCTATTATGTTTTTTGTTGTTAAGCCCAAAGTTAGAGAATGAGCTATCTTTGCTCTGCCCAGTCATAGTCTTATAATTTTTTTGTACTTAAAATTTGTTCCGCTTTGGTAAATTTGGGGGCTCGTAATTTGAGGGTCTCGAGTTTGATTCCCGTTGCCACCAAACTTGCTTGTCCTGTCTTTATTATGGCAAAGCTGTTAAGACTATCTGCCACTGTCACTAATTTTGAATTACTGGTTAGAGGGAAATCAACTGTCTGGTAGCACCCACCCTCAACTTTTTTTGAGTTTTTTTTTTTTACCTTTTTAAACTGATGACTAAAGGAAAAGCAACTGGCTGGTAGAACTTTCTGTAAGTGTTTTTTCATTGATTAGAGGAAAGCAAACTGCCACCACCCTTTTTTTTTGCTTGTACATACCATGGTTTGAGGAACAGTGTACTAATTGTTTAGTCAAATGCAATTGATCAATGGGGTTGTTGATTAATCATTTAGCAAATATTAATTGCCCAACTCTACTTTCAGGAGTTGCATTCAAATACTTAACTACTGTTTGCTCACACAAATGAATGAAATTTTGTCAAAATAAATACTTTTCCCTGTGTAAACATGACTTTACGTATCTATGTACCCTTTAACTGATAAGGTTGTCCTGAACCATATGTAGGTCAAGAAAATAATTTTTATGAAAAAATTAGTTCTATAAATAAACTTATAAAACAGCTACATGGAAAGATGAAAAAGAAGAAAATGACAAAGTACAATGTTTTGTCAAGTTTACTTAACGTCAGGTACAACTATTTATAGCAATGATGAATATTCATGATCAATACTTAAATGCTTTGCAATGCTTGCAAAGATTTAAAAATACAAGGCTAGGATTTCTTAAAATCAGTGAACAATATATTCAATGACCTTTTTAGTTGAATTTCAACAAATTAGCAAAAATGATACATTTAAAAACTTGCAAATAAACAAATCACTTGTGTAATTTAAAGTACAGCATGTGACAAAGCATAAATGTTTTTTTACTGATTTGGAAAATATTCCTCTAGCTAACTAACACAACCAAAATATCCCCAATGTTGTTGTGCACTTTAAAGAACAGATGTAGCCCTAGAAACAAATTACCCATCATGCTGTCATTCAAGTACTGAGCTGTCATCACCAACAGTACATAACATAAACATACAACATTCAGAAGTCATGATATTTGGTAATCTAATAACTTCTGAAACACACAATAAAGATAAATGTGTAATTTCATTTACTGTCAATATACTTGCAATTCTAAAGTACTGAAGGCTTAAATCTTAGACTTGGACTTACATGATCCATCATATTCTGTATATTAAGATGGAAGAAACTGCAATAACTGCACCTGTACTTTCAGACTCATCTCACTTTATTACTGTGTCCCTTTCCATTTTTATGTGCACCATAACAAGTTTTTCCCATCCATTTGATTTAATTTGTGACCAGGATGCAAGGTTTCGCATTCAAGCTACCACTGTTATTAGTTTATTTTGTTGGATCACTCACATGTTTTAAAATTACTAAACAAATTTATATTTTGATGAAAATGTCACTAGTATCTGATGTTTAAGTATAAGTGGCTATGTAATTTTATGTAACAGTTTGTTAAGAGAAAGTTGTAGGTATGACCTGTTTGTAAGTTTTTGCTATTTTTATAAATGTTTTACAAATATATATTTTATTTCATGTTTTTCCCAAACACCTTATTAATGTGTGTTAACAAAGTATTTATGGTTATATACTAAAGCAGGTTTACTATATGCAAGTTGAGGAATGATAAATATAATTTTTTAAATTGTAGGAGCATTACTTCGGGCTCCAGTTTTTATCCAAACAAGGTGTTATGCGGTGGCTGGACTTGGAGCGGCCGGTTAAAAAACAGCTCGATAAACATGCCCAGGACATGACTTTATACTTACGAGTCTTGTACTTTGTTACTGATGTCAACGTTTTGTATGATGAAGTGACAAGGCAAGCTCATGTTTCATAGCATAAGCTACATAAGTTTTATTTTATAATGATACAATAAAAAACAGAGTATAACCTGTGATACTTTGATTAAGTGATACTGATTTAATACTCTACAAGTGTAGGTTAGCTTTGCTGAAGATGTAATGCAGAGGGAATTGTTCCCTTGTTATAAGTGTCAGTACACATTATGGTGAAATGTATTAATGATGTATACCCTCCTGTCATTTTTATAGTAAAATGTTAATACGTCATATTTTGTTTTAACAAATTTAGACAATTACTTATTACTACATCTTAACTATGAATTTAGAATGTTTAATATCATAGGAAAAAGTGTGTTCTTGAAAAAATTAACTTAGTTTTTAAAATATTTTCCAAGCAGATAAGTGAAATCAGTGGATTTGTGGTGAAGTTTACTTTGAAATATTTAAATTTAAATTCAGTTCTTTTTCTCATTCTATTTCATAAAATTGCCAACGTAAATATATTATGTATGTGTAGTGGTCTAAATTAAACTTCTCCTGTAATGTGTAATTATAAATTATGTATATGTAATGGGCTAGATTAAACTTCTCCTGTAATGTGTAATTATGTATATGTAATTGACTAGATTAAACTTCTCCTGTAATGTGTAATTATGTATATGTAATGGCCTAGATTAAACTTCTCCTGTAATGTGTAATTATGTATATGTAATTGACTAGATTA